GTTGGTAACTACCACACGTTTATGATGCACCCTGTATATTGAAAAGTAATTTTAGAATGTGGACCTTTTAAACGTGAAAAACTTTCGTTGGACGAATTTTCTTGGAAACTTCATATTTACTGAGATATCGCACTCTGACGCACTAATGAGCAACCCTGTATATATATATATAAAATTCTCGTGTCACAGTTTTAGTTACCATACTCCCCCGAAACGGCTTGATCAATTTTGATACGTATTTTGTACGTATTTTGTACGTATACGAAATTTTGTACGTATTTTCAGTAGGTCTGAGAATAGGTTGTTATCTATTTTTTATACCCGTAAGTGATATGGGTGCTGCCATAAACCCCTATCTTTTAATAGCTATATTAGTAATTCAATAAATTTAAAATAAAATAAAAATAAAAATCTCAAGTGGGCAAACCGCCCACACGGGATGAAATAAAAACCCTAGGAATAATTCATATGGCAATAAAACGTTTGCCGGGTCAGCTAGTATTTTATAACAAAAAAATTATCAAAGATTGGCTGTAGAACAAAGGTCCAGATGTACATTGCTTTATATGCAGCAAATGTTTATATTTCAGTAATGCTCGAATGCATTTAGTTTCCTTTCAAAGCAGCCTTACCAAGTTTATCGATAAATGAAACGTGTTTGAAAATGTTACGAAGTGGACAAGGTTTTCTGTTAGAATATTGACGATGTACGGTCTTATATTTGAATATGATGTGATTTGAATATTATGTGACTCGAATCTAAAATCAAATCAAAATATGGTTTTTTGGCACAGAAACATTCAAGCAAATGTTACATGCATACATGCAACTTAAAAGAAACGGCCGTTAAAACTACGCATTTATAGCAATATTTAAGGCACGAAATTGTGTGCAGAAACGCGTTTTACTTAAAGCATTAACGAAAAAAACCGAAAAATTCTATTAATGATGACACTAATAGGATGGGAAACTGGTCTTGGGGATGCCTAAGATTAACGCTCAGTTATCATCTGGAAAGTTTCATTTTTCTTCACTCTTCATGAGCTTAATTCCTTATATTGATCACATATTTCTTGCCTAGATGTTGCTTTAAGACAATTTAATTTTTGAGCGATTCACGCAGCATTTGTGTTGGTTGTAATCCTTATCGGGAATATAAACCTTAATATACGATGGAAGTTTACTGCAGTTCTTCTGTAACAAAATAGACACACCAAAACCCCGCATAGTTGTGGTAGTTTCCATTATTCCTCGACTCAATATTACACGTTACTACGATGTTAATATTGCGATTCTGTCGTAAAGCACCTTGGAACAATGGCGAACAGCTTAAGCTGGCCAACTGTTACTCCTTAATCCTTGTAATTCTTTGATCCGCTTTTCTCGGGCTTCAGTCATCCGTGCGCCGGCACGTTATGTTTGCTAATCCTATTAAACGGTGGTTATTCTCGAACCACTTAAAACATTGAACACAAAAAAGTTATTTATGCCCTACTGAGAAATGCTGAAAGCCAGCACACAAACAAGATTTATAATCTGGTAGGTCTTAAGCTGTAAAACCAGTGGAGAAGTGAGAAGTAACTGGGAACCTATTCTTGGAAGGAATTGGAGGCGGATGACCACTTAGTAGATTGTTGAGTAGGAATTACTTAGTTAATTCCTAGTTAGGGTTTTATTTTTGTTTAGAAGCACGATTTGGAATTTGATAGTGTTATATGTAGGTATTCTTTAATATTTTTTACAAGTTTGTTAAGTGGTTGGTTAATATCCTCCCAACGCCCCGGTTTTTACAAGTAACAAGAAACCAAAGGCGGCACAGACGGAAAAGGTGCCAATCACGCCGCGGTTAGTTAAACATCGGTTCAACATTAAACAAACAAGAAATTCCCTGGTAAATAAGTATTACAAAAACTTTGACCATTATGTTCCAGCCTGATGCAAAAAGCCTAATGCCGTTGTGTTCTGTCCAGTTCCGTTGCGCGGTTTAAGGATTGTTTTCTTGTTGAAGACTGTAGCTGGATGATTAATTGACTGTCACCTAAAGATCAGTGGTTCGAGCTTGTTATGGCAATTTATAACTCCTACTACGTCTAAATTGAGTGAATATCCGGCATAGTTCAACTATAGAGCTGGTGTTTTTTTACTTGCGTGCTTAATAAGAATCCGCTAAAAACCACTAACCACATGCTCAAGCATTCGTTATTCTAGTGTGGCGCGAA